CTAGTCCTGCGACTTATACACCAAAGCGACAAATGTTTTTTTCCCCTCATATTTATTAAACTGAGACACACCTTTGTTATAATGTCAAGCAAACACTTTGTTTTTAAGTGTTAATCTTGTTAAATTCTTGTTAAAGTCCTCCCGTGCACACGCCCGTTGCTAACAGATGCGACTTATATGGCGAAGCAACTTATTTATTTATTTTTTTCCACTTTATTAGACATTTTTGGACTGATGCGACTTATACGGCGGTGCAAGGTGGCAAGTACGGTACAACATATTTTTGGATACAGTTTTATCTTCCATTAACTTTGCTCACGTTCACACAGTATGTAATCTTTGGAAGCAGCCCATCAACGTCTTGATAAAAACATTAGGATTCAAAAACACTATGGAGTACCCTTTGTGTTATAAAGTTTAGAATACATGCCAAACCTTTTCTGTTTAACACTGCAATATTTGAAATAAAGTATATTTTACATTACATTTTTGCTACATGGTTTATTTTTTTTACTTCGTAATAAAAGTAACATCAAGCCATGCTACTGGACAAGGACAAACATGCCTGTGGACACACTTGTTTTCTAATTTTACTTTTTTTTTTGGTTGATCCCTTCAGATAACTAGCACAGAAGATTTGGCAAATGTTTTACACTGAATGCCCTTCTTGATGCAACCTGGGCTCAAATCTGCAGCCCCAGGACTGTAAGACTGCAGCACTGACCACCAAGCTACCGTGTTCTGTTTTCTAATTTTCCTGTCAAACACCCAACAAACTTGCATTTTTAATCGACTTGTCTTGGAAATAAAAATTTTATTGCAAAGGCTTCAGTGTAAACTACAGGAATAACAATGGAATATTAATATCTGCAAACTATAATAAAACAGCTAACATAATTTTGACAAAGATCTCTATTGAACTCAGATTTCCAATCTATACGTTTTCGTTTTGGATCAATTAAAAAAAACTTTATATGCTCTAAAAAAAAACCTAAAGATGTGATCAAGTAAATCTGTCGTGTTCAGGCTTGTTATATTAAACAGGCCTGGTAACATACTCCATCTTGTATTTCTTCTATGATTGTTCAGGCTGCCAGTTTTTAAAGGACATTCAGCTACCATGATCACGCATCATAAAAGCAGCTGAAAATGCTGCAGGAGCTGTAGCTTCAGGGAGTTCACTCCTCGGCTCAAGCCTTACAATCTGTGCAAGTTAGCCACTGAGATCATACCATACCTATCCACTGTACAGTACACAAAAGAGCTGAGAACAGAAACAGGTCTTTGCTTGTCTCCTCAGTGTCTGTGCGCTTCTCCCAAGTAGCTGCATGCTGAGTGAACCTGCCTGCTGGGAAGGAGCATGGTGCTGGCAATCCCACTTTTAACTATCTGGGGCTTACGAAGAGAGAAAAACACAAGCTGTTGATGTTGCTCTCCTCTTCCACTGTGGCTCACATCTCCTCTTACAATCTAACCTGCTCATCACCAGAGGAAAGGGGCAGAAAGGGGAAACAAACATACTCCGTTACTAATCCTAACCCAAAATCGACCCATTTACCGACAATAGCTTTCATTCTGCTTTTCTAACCTTCCCTTTTGTGTCTCCTTCTGTTATGCAAGACTGAGTCAGCGGAAAGTGTTCCTGCCAAAGCAATCACAATCCTACACTTTCGTAAATATGTCAGCTGGCTGGACGCAACATTTATGATTATTTAAAACAAATACGGCAGTGACATCTTTATTTGAACCATTTTCTGCTTACTTTTACATCTACTGATGTCTTAAGTCAGAAACGTGTGTATTTTACCCTTGATCCTTCATGAACTAACTGAAGCACGGCTATTTCTTTAAAAAAAAACATAAAAAGTCTACACAAATACAATACTTGTACACCTATATGGTAATTTGTACTAAATATTGAGTGTTAATGATCATTTTTGATATGATAACAAATGTAGGGGGGGGGGGTTTCTGCTCAATTTTTTTTTTTTTAAACCATACAGATGAAATATTCTAGCAGATACAATCCAGGCGCAATCTGCTCATCAGAAGTATTGTTCATTCAAATTTTGAAAACTCTGCCTATTTAGTGCTGAACTTCCCAACAATTTGTTGTGGGACGCAGAACTCAGCTTGGCAAATACCACTTTTGAAAGCCGCCCTGTCTGAAAGTCCCATAAGTCCATCAATGCATCACTGAACTTTAAATTACTGATGCTTTCCTGTGGCCAGCATCTTTTACTGACGCCATCTTTGTGTTGATGATGAACCAAATATGGAGTCTCTCTTTAACCTGAAGGTGATTCGCTTGCGATTCATCACAAGACAAGACAATTTTTCATTTCAGCTCAATTTATATTACAATGAATTAACCAAGAGAAGGCAGCAGTGTTTCTGAATTCCACCCCACCCACCCACCCCCAATGGTAGTGTTTGAAGCTCCAGAGAGTCCATGCAAAATAAAAGCCAGAATGGTCCTGTATTTGGCCCCATCCATCTTCCCATCAATTCTGACCATCTTCTCTGTCCCTGCTGACGAAAAGCAGGCCCAAACCATGATGCTGCCACCACCATGTTTGACAGTGGGGATGGTGTGTTCAGGGTGATGAGCTGTGTTGCTTTTACGCAAAACATATCATTTTGCATTGCGGCCAAACAGTTTGATTTTGGTTTCATGTGACCAGAGCACCTTCTTCCACATGTTTGGTGTGTCTCCCAGGTGCTTGTGGCAAACTTTAAACAACACTTTTTATGGATATCTTTGAGAAATGGCTTTCTTCTTGCCATTCTTCCATAAAGGCCAGATTTGTGCAGTGCATGACTGATTGTTGTTCTATGGACAGACTCTGCCACCTCAGCTGTAGATCTCTGCAGTTCATCCAGAGTGATCATGGGCCTTTTGGCTGCATCTCTGATTGGTCTTCTCCTTGTTCGAGATGAAAGTTTAGAGGGACGGTCGGGTCTTGGTAGATTTGCAGTGGTCTGATACTCCTTCCATTTCAATATGATTGCTTGCACAGTGCTCCTTGGGATGTTTAAAGCTTGGGAAATCTTTTTGTATCCAAATCCGGCTTTAAACTTCTCCACAACAGTATCTCGGACCTGCCTGGTGTGTTCCTTGGTCTTCATGATGTTCTCTGCTCTTTGAACAGAACCCAGAGACTATCACAGAGCAGGTGCATTTATACGGAGACTTGATTACACACAGGTGGATTCTATTCATCATCATCAGTCATTTGGGACAACATTGGATCATTCATAGATCCTCACTGAACTTCTGGAGTGAGTTTGCTGCACTGAAAGTAAAGGGGCCCAATAATATTGCACGTCCCACTTTTCAGTTTTTTATTTGTTAAAAAAGTTTGACACATCCAATAAATTTCATTCCACTTCACAATTGTGTCCCACTTGTTGTTGATTCTTCACAAAAAATTAAAATTGTATATCTTTATGTTTGAAGCCTGAAATGTGGCAAAAGGTTGAAAAGTTCAAGGGGGGCGAATACTTTCGCAAGGCACTGTATATATCAGTCATATTTTTTTTCTGTGAAATATTTAAAAAATTGAATAACCTTTATTTTGTAATCTGGACATACTAGTACATTTTCATGTTTCCCATTTGCTCAGATTGCCACAGCCAGGGTTATGCTTTGTAAAAGTATGCTTTATTAAAGCATACTTTTAGAGTCTCATCCTCTGCAAGTTTCACGAGTGACATATGGAGCTCGGACGTCAGTCCTGTGTCGATGCTGAGTTTAACAGCTCACTGGTTGGATGCCGATTTTCAACTTCATAAAGCTGTTCTGCATACCCAGGAGTTTTCTGACTCCCACACTTTAGCAGACACATTTGAAAAAAATGTTTCAAACATGGCATAATCCAAAAGACAAGATACACATGATACTGAGAGATAATGCCCAAAACATGGTGAAAGCTATGACAGATGTTGGGTTACCAAGTTTGGGGTGTATGGCGCACACCCTGCAGCTGGCACTCCATGATGCAGTGCTGTCACAGTGCAGACTAGTGCATACTATTATAAGGTTATAGTATTTTGGTTTAAATTTATGTCGGACATAAACATCAAATGTACAGAATAACGATTCATACTGGTACATAAATTATATACAGGTAAGTTTGATCATATTAATGTCACATAAAGTGTCAACACAGCTGTGAACTGTTAGAGATTAGAACAAATAAAAGTTATTACAAGACGAAAAGTTCATGCAGTCCTTTTATATTAAACAAAAATATATATTGTAGCATCAAGTACCCTAAAATAATTACAGTTGTGATACTAGTGAATTCACAACACAAACCCAGTAGGAAAGCTGGTTTTGAATAAAACCAATGTTACATTACACCGACTGTGATTTAATCAGTTAACCACAGCTGAGATTGGATCAGCACATCTTGACTGCAATTTGTTGCACGTTTTTTCACTTCACAGCACCAGTTAGTTATTGATTCCTTCACAAGAGTATTCTACAGCTCTCCAAAATATAAGAAAACCCTGCAGACTTTACATATCAAGTTTTTACAGAGAAATATAATCTTGTGATCATATGTTCAAATGTGTTGTTATAGCATGTTTTAACGGCCACTCTAGCATTTTTTTTATCCACTTGGCTAGATGCAGTTTTAATATATGTATGTATATATATATATATATATATATATATATATATATACGATCTTAATGAAAAAAGACTAACGGTACTACAGACAAGAAAACGTTTGGTACAAACTGTAGTATAAGCTGTCCATAATCATCACTTTATTTTAATTTTGGTTGAGAACCTGGACCCTAACAATGATAAAGCTTCTTAAAATAGTTACTAACTAAAGGTGCCAGATCTCCTTGTTGCAGAAAAGCAATAAAAAATGTGATTTTAACTAAAGAAAACATGACGCTTGCTGAACTACCACATACATGAAAACTCATTAATGATAATTGGAAATAATCATTGAAAGTGTTTATAAAAAGTTTGATCTTACCATGCCGATCAAAAACATTCCAGGGCTGGCTCACATGACGTGATGACTCCCTCTTCCCCCCCTTGATGAAGGCATGAAAACTGGGTCTCCTCTGGTCCCCTACAAACTTACCCGGCTGCTGCCCCATAAGGGCAGGATGCCAGGCTGTAGCCGGGACTCTCCAAGCTGGTACCACTTGCTCACTGTCCAACTGTTGGGCTGCAGGCAAGGAGAGGATCAGGAGAACATAGAAGACCCGTTCTCCGTCTCAGACTATCCACTCCAAGAAAACAAGTGGTACAGGTCTCATGAGCAGATCCAAATTACTCCAGTATGTCCTTATGGATCATGGATTAATGGAGTCCAGGTCCCTCAAATGACAAAAACGGTACCTAAAAGGAAAAATAAGAATAATGACTCACAGGTGATTTTAACAAAAACAAAAGTATGTTTGATCTGATCCATACGATTTTATATACTATTTGCCAAATCACTTGAAATAATCCAAGCTTGGATGTTGCAAATTAGAAAAAAAAATAAAATAAATGATGCGGTCTTTAAAGAGTCTTGTCCTAACATGTTTCAACAGATCGGACAAAGGTGATTACTCTGACCAAGTTTGTATTGATTTGCTGTGACTGCAGAATCAAAAAAGGGACAAATCAGCAGAAAACACACACAAGCAAAATACTTTCCGAGGCTTATCATAGGGTATGTTTACTGTCAGATTGTCCAACTTTCTTCTTCCTGTGTTGCATCAAGACAACTCTAACTAAACCTGTTATTTAAGTCTAGTTCCTTTTTTTAAAGAACACACTGGCATCAGATAACCTTAGTTTATTGCAGCCTGCAGGTAACTATCAGGGAATTAGGTTTTGACCAGAGAGAAAACAAAAAGCTGCAGAAATAAAAGATTAATGCAACACATTTAGTAAAGCATTGTTACTTTTTATCCAACACAACAACTGCACAACTTCCATATAATTTTTTTTTCTTATGTTTTGGTAGATTTAGTAGTTTTTCTATTTATAAGCTTTAGTTACATTTTATTTTTTAGTTATTGTTTTTGACTGACAATTTGCATATAGATTAAGCAACATAAACAGTGCACCTTTTTAACAGTATTTTACTGTTTGCTATGCAAGGTATGCCAAATAAAGAAACTTTGACTTTTAATTTGAAGGTGCTGCCACTGAGAATAACTTTTTTTTTATTTCTTTATATAACCGAGCAGCACTCTGCTTGTTTAAATACTCAGGTTTACATATTGTTAAACATGTCTGAATGCAAAACTAATTATAGAGACTGCCTACAGTCCAAATTAACATTAAAGCAGCGTTATGAACAGCTGATCAATAACAAGAAGCGAATTTTAACGCTTGATAAAACGTGTTCTTATAAGACGTGTGTATGAAACTTACACGACTGCAAAACCATTTAAATAGTTGGTTAGCCGGCGACCTCCAGCTAACGTTGAAGATAGCCATGGAAGCTGGTGGAGCCTCTGAATGCACGTCGAGCAGTCAACAGTTGGCTCCCAGCTAACAACCTCCAACAAGCGCACTAAAACGTCTCCCAACAAACATGCACGAAGACCATACTTTCAGATTTTGCTGTACGAAATCACAGCAAACAGTTTGTCTCAAACTTCCGTGTCCACTTTTTTTTTCCCCGTCTCGCTGTCGCTGAGCTTCTCCCCCTGAGCAGAGACTTTAAATCAGGCGAAGAAGAAGAAGTAGTAGTTTAGGGAACTCTCCCGGGGCCAGAGCCCAAACAAACGGCTCTTCCTACAAGTTTTCTGCTCTGCTTACAGCCGCCGAGCTCCTCGTTACCCAGTCCCCCGTTTTGCGCACCTATTCATCGCTTTCACGTGAAAAGCGAAGCGGTAAACTTTGGCCGAGTAGCAACGGAGTCGCCGAGGCCGCCATACTTTCATACGCAAGGTGGTTTACAGAAATATGTGGGTGGGGCGACGTGTGACGTCACGTACGTGCGTGGGCTAGATCGTTGAGAAGAGTGCAGATTTTATTATTGTGGAAGAGCAGCCACCACCAACATA